GGTAAATAAATAAATAAATCTCTTAAATTCCCAGTGCTGCAGGTTCCTAGCTATAAAATGATGGCATCACCTACTTTGCCCAGTTGTTGTATATATCAGTTAACGTGGTCTAAACTGTGCCAACGGGAAGACCCAAAATGTAATGCCTTGAGCAGAGTAGAAGGTTTTTTCTTTCATGTAAATAATCTACAACAGGCCAGGTGGTGGCCTTCTACTCCAAGCATTCTTCAAGAAACCCAGGAGATGCTGGTTCTATTATTTTCAGCACGTTGCTCGCAAGGTTACTGCAAGGTTGGTATTCCAGCCAAACAGGAAGGTGGCATGGAGGTGGGGTGGTATGGAGGAACCTATGAGCCAAGTTTCACGGTCAGGTCTGGAAGTGACTCTCATCACTTCCACTCACATTCTATTGGTGAGAGCTTAGCCATACAACCACACCAAGTTTCAAAAGGAGCCAGAAACCAGTCCCTGGTTGGATAACTCCCTCCCAGTTAAAATTCTATTACTTTGGATGGGCTGGAAAGTCTAGAGTGGTTTCCACCATATTATAGATAGAAAAGTGCTTAACACCTAGGAGCCTGGGGCTCAGCATCTCCACATAGGCCCGGCTCTGCTGGATTAAGTGTTTCCATGCGGGCATGTGTGGAGGTGGCCAGCACTATTCCATATCCTCATTTCAGGATTTTTAACAGCTGCTTTCAATCTGCTTCTCCTAAATGACTCTCTTTGGCTACTCCTCCCTTTCCTACAGTGAATATATCCATCAGCTGATGCCCTTCTCAGGCCTCAGTCTCCCCTGGTTTGCAGACTGTGGCCCTCCCTGGCCTCTCTGGAATCTAGCCATTTGAATCCTGTCAGCCCTGTTCTCCATCACCAAAGGACTCCGGTGAAACTGTGCCAAGCAGGCTGTCAGCCACAGGCAAGCTTTCTGAAAAAGATGTGCCAACTGCAGCCACAGAAAGTCCATTCCCTTGAATAACTTTGTTAATATTTGAAAATTAGTTCCCTTGCTCCTGATCGTGCTACTGGGTATTTGGATATAAGAGCAAGGATGAGGGCAATAGAAAATTAAAATCATGTTCTACTCATACAAAATATGGAAGGGTAGGTCCTATTACCTATAATCCTGGGATTTTTAGACTCTCACTTTCATTGGACCAGAGTTGCCTTAGGGATAGTAAAAAAACAAAATGCTAGGTATTGTTTTCATCAAGCAACTACTGATAGTGCACATTTAAATCAAAATTCTTCTAATCCCAAACCCAGCAAACAGATGCTGTGAGCTTAGTTCTGCCCCTCTGGCTTCAGATTTTACCCCACTGGATGTGACCAATTCTGAGATGACAAGAAGCTTCCAGCTTCCACATGGTTGCAATTTGGCTGTAGAACCAGCATGAAAGCACGTCACTATGTCAGCAGCTGGGCCACCAGATGAATAACCTATGAACAACAGCTTTGGACTAAAATATGAAGGGGTTGCTTTCCTTCGATCTCCCCCTACCCTCCTCAGAACCTGCTACAGGGAAAGATTTATAGACCTGAAAGCGTCAATGACTGATTACACCCATATGATTGCTCTTGCAGTTTCTGGTATTTTAACAAACTGTCTTATAAAGAGGTAAACATAAAAAATCAATGGGAAAACTTTTGGCATGGGTGAGACATTTAGGGAAAGAAGTCATTTCAGCCTCCCCCAACACACACATGCACACACACATACAGCCTGTATCACACAATGGAAGTGAGGACCCACACTATCTAGGCTCAGGACTGGCTCCATGGGACAGATGGGTGGGACAAGTCATCCTGCTGCAGTCAGGTAGCAGGGAGCACTGAGGAGACTAAGATGACAGAGACAAAATAACCAGAGAAAAGATACAGGAGCTGGGGGGAGAGGGTTGAGGTTTGATGAAGCTCTCTGTTCCCAGTAGGGGAGAGTTGGAAGCCACAGATGTAGTTACAGCCCCTTGTTTTCCAGATGAGGAAACTGACCCCAGTAGTGGTCCATGGAGCCAGTGGCCTATGTCAGCTGGGCTCTTACTGCCACGTGAGAGGTGCCACCTTCAAATGTCTGAGATCCACTGACCTTCTTTGAATAACAGCAACTGAAGTAAAAAAAAACCATGAAAATCCCGTGCCTCTCTAGTGCCATTTTCATATTGATTTTCCATCTTCCTCCACGCAGTCAAAGGGCAACGTTTTCTCTGTAACTTCCCACTCTTGCCTGATGCAAATAAAATGTGCTGCTCTTGCCCTTTTCTCCTTCTCCCCTTAGTATTCTTAATTTTCCCCTAGATACTCAAGTAGCGCCCAGGTCTCAGGAATGTATAATCTCTTGCTTATCTCTAGCAACAGATTTGGGAATGAAGAATCGTTCCCTGGAAGAGTCAGAGCGCTCTTAGACACATTCTGCTGGGTTGCTCGAGCTCCTCCCCTGGGAAATCCACTAAAACTAGGAAAGAATTGCTGAGAAGATTCAGAGGCTGAAGAGTAGACAGAGGGCTTTAATTGAAAAAAAGAAGCAGAAAATTAAGGAAGATGTGAGGCATCAGTGCCAGCAGACAATATGTGACAGGTGCTAGCCACATGGATCACACTAAATTTCTGTCATTTATATAGATAAAAAAGAATTTCCAAAGAGCTCCTCCATAATTCAGCATCAGCCAGCTTTAAATCACCACCTTTCTTTACCTTTTCAAGGAGCTTTTATCTAGCTAGCTTTCATTTCAGAGTGAATCCTCACCAATTCAGGTGAGGATTCTCAATCCTGTTCTGCAGCTGAAGAACTCATGCTCAAAAGGGCTAAGAGTTTATTCTCCTGCATTCAAGTACCTTGCTTTTCCAAATCTTGTGCTCATTTTACCTACACACTTTGATTTTTCTGGGATGATGACAAGTTAGACGTGCAGACTCCTCAGGCTCATTCATAATCTGCATAGACAATACAGGTCATGCAAATTTAAGAAAAGGCTAAAAGGTGCCCTTTTGCACCCAACATGTTTGATAATGCCCCGGTAAAACGGAACATCAGTTTCACAGCCTCGCTCTGTAGGTTTCCTTGGAATTGCAAAAGCACAGGACTCTGCCACATATTTATTTCTCAGGATATAGAGGAGCAGACTGAAAGGAGAAAGGAATTTTAAAAGCCATGGAAAGCTGCCCTAAATGTGGTTGGATATAGAGAGGAGAGTGCTGAAGGCAAACAGCTGTGCCCTCTTTGCCTTTTTAATGAGGAAGGGGATTTAAGCCAAAAGAACACACGTAAACATAGATTTCTTAAAGTTCTCACTGTAATTATGTAGCCTTGGGAGATGAGGAATTGTTAAGTAGATTGTTAAGCTGGAATTGTTAAGGAATTGTTAAGCTGGCTTAAACAAACGATAAATGCTTGAGGTGATGGGTACCCAATTTACCCTGATGTGATTATTACATATAGTGTTCCTGTATCAAAATATCCCATGTAACCCATAGATACACACACCTACTATGTATCCAAAACAACTAAACTTTTTTTTAAATGGGCATTTTCCCAAAAGGACTTTGTTTCAGTTTATTTTCCCCCCTAGGAAAAAAGAAACAGAAATCATATTAATACTGCCTTTAAGACTCAGAGAATGAGTATGTTTTGACTTAAAATATAGCAAGAATAAGAGGCAGTCCTGACAAGAGTGAGCAAAACCTAGCCAGAGACATCTTTTTATTTATCCTATTAAACACTATTTTCTTAAATAAGGTAAATAATTGGGTCAATACTAATAATGAGACTCTGACCTTAAACTCTAGTCTGAAGATTTAAAAAAAAAAAAAAAAAAGTAAAAAGATTCTCATTCTGTTGAGAGCCTCTGCTCCTGATTGGTTTGGGGGGAAAAGGCGACAGGACTGGAAACCCCCTTCAGAAAGCTGCACTCCTTCATGGAGTTAGGCAGCCACGCAACACGTCTTTGTTTTGTTGCTTCTTTCAGGGTCAACTCAACTCTCATCATTTTCCCTATAAACCAAAAAATGAGACTCTTGAATTGTCAGTATGCTCTAATAGTGGAACCAAAGGTAGGAGATTAGGAGGTAGGTGGGTGATTATGGCTGGTTTTCCTTATATTTCCAACACCCAAGTGATTAGGCTGCTTCCCCTCTTTTGCTCTGTTTAAAATATTCAGTGTAACTTAAACATCAGTAGGATAGAGAGGATTTCTGAGGCTAATCTGAGAGCCACCTGCACCCTCGCAAAGGCACCCACATGGACTTTTGCCTCCCCTCCTACCCTCTGGCCTCCGGAGTTCCCTGGGCTCTCTCAGTAGGGGAGGGAGACGGGGAGCTTCTTTAGGTTCCTGGTGAGGGTCTCTGAAGACAATTCCTTAGGCATGAATAATTCCCAGACATTTGCTAAAGAGCAGCATCCTCCAAAGCTTTAATTGGGATCACAGGAAAATGATGCTCCCACCTCAGGTTCAAACACAGTTTTATCTCACACTGCAAGCTCCCTGGCATGGTCAAAGTCCTCAATGCCTTTCCTAGTGGTTTCCAACATCAAGGACATACTTTTTCCTCCTCCTAGCTCTCTCCTTCGGCCAAGTCCTTCCTTAGACTGAATTGTCCCAGCAGAACTCCCTCTTAAGCTTGGCTTCTGGGGCAGAAAACCTACTTTCTGAAAGGGTTGGGGACCGTCAGAGCATGAACTAGACTCAAGCTCCCAATTACAGAGCAGACATGGGGCTCTGCCTGCACCAGGCCACCCCCGGATTCCTACAGCTCCAAGACTCTCTTCCAGCATCTAGATGCAGCTAGTCTCATTCCAGCTTTGTGTCCCGTTTGATGCAAAATCTTTTTTCCTTCCTTTTTCAATCCCCATCACATGTTCTGTGTGACAAAGCAACAAGCTGGAAATCGAGTTCTGAGTTGTATACCCGGCTCTGCCACAAACGTGCTGTGACCTTGAACAAGTCACATGACTTGTCTGGACCTGGATTCTCTCACCTGTAAAAAGAAGAAGCGAGCTATACTACTTTTAAAATGTCTCCAGCTTTAATTTTATTAGAATATCAGCTGCTTGCTCCTCTGGTTTCTCATGGCAGGTTGTGCATTCTCCTCTGAAGGCATCGTATTTCATTGGAGTATCTCTCCTTACAAATGTATTTCCCCACTAGATTGGCCCCTCAAGAACAAGGATTGTATTTCAGTTACCTCTGTTGTCTCTGTACCTGGGGAGGAGGGAGAAAAGGAGAGCAGGAAAGAGAATGATATAGCATCAACATTTGTTGAGTTTCTATTATGAGGAATTGTCTATGCTACACATTGTACATAAAGTATGTACGATTCACAGTATAAACATTATAATCTGGAATCAACCTAAATGTTCATCAGCAGATGAATGGATAAAGAAAATGTGGCATATATACACAATGTGATACTATACAGCCATAAAAAAAAAGAATGAAACCTTGTCATTCACGGCAGCATGGATGAGCCTGGAGGACATTACGTTAAGTGAAAAAAGTCAGGAACAGAAACACAAATGCCACATGTCCTCATTCATATATGGGAAATTTTTAAATGTTACTCTCATAGAAGTAGAGAGTAAAATAGAAGCCACTAGAGGCTGGGAAGGGTAGAGGGGCAAGGGTCATAGGGAAAAGACAGTTAATGGATACAAATTACAGCTACATAGATGGGAAGAGTAAATTCCAGTGTTCTATAGCAGGGTAGGTGACTACAGTTAATGATAATTTATTGTCTCCTTATTGTATATTATTGTATATTTTCAAATATTGTATATTTTCAAAGAGGATTCTGTATGTTCCCAACACAACAAAATAATAAATATTTGAGGTGATGGATATGCTAAGGACCTTGATTTGATCATTACACATTGACTACATGTACTAAAATATCACTCTGTACCCCATAGACATGCTCGATTATTGTGTGTCAATTAAAATGATAAAAAATTATAATCTCATATCTGCTGATAAAGCAACTGAGAAATTAATTTAGCCAGGTCACACAGCTGGATCAGAAACAAAATTCAGGTTTGCCCGGCTTTGCCTACTGTCCCAAGGACCTGACCCAAGAGCAACAGGGCTCCATCAAAATTCTCCAAATATCTAGTAGGTGCTCAATAAATACTCATTAAATGGATGTGACATATATTCTTTTATTTGGCTTTTGGTCAGACTAGGATGTGTCTTTGATCCTTATCTACACTGAGATGGGAGGGGAGCAGAACTGGGGCAGGAGATGAGAGCCCCGAACATAATTTTATTTCAAGGACTTCTGAATTCTTTAATTAAGAAGGGGCAGGGCAGAGCTCTTACTGGGTATTAGGAAATAATGATGAAATATTATCAAAGTAACTCAAGGTTTCAGGTGCTTCACCCTGAAGAATAAGCTAAAGCCCTAATTTGCCTCATCACTCAACCTACAAATTCATAGAGGACACAATTGTTTTCACAGCCCCTGAAGGTCACATTATTCTTTCTTGCTCTAATGCCCCTCACAATTATATACAGGTGAGCAGGCAGAGAAATCTATATTAAAGCCTCAAAGTGTGAGGAGCTCCCAGCTCCAGAAGCCTGCAAGGTACTTGGCCCGAGTACCGTGGCAAACTCTGTGGGCTCCCACCATGTGGCCTGAAAGGCAGTGATACTGGAATTGAAATGGATTGCTGTCTTCAGGGCACTCTAGCCTGGTACCAACACCTGAGAAAGGCTCTTTGGTTCTTGTTAATTTATCTTAAGCACAAAAAAATTCTAAGAACCAGCTGAGTTAATATTTGCCTAAGGGAGAAAGGAAAAAGAAAGGTGATCATCTGTTTCTAAGGGTGCCTCAGGATTGTGCCTGGAGCTCTTAACCCATTCAGGGCCCACATAAATCTCTCACTGGAGTGTCTGATATTGTTTCAGCAACGAATGCAGTCCAGTAGAGAGAAGAATGTTCATTTCTGTCTAGTGGTGAGTTAATGCCCGTCTGCAGGCAAAGATTCAAATAAACAGCACACTGCATGTATTTCTTTTTAAATAGAGTATTGCTTTAATAGCTGTTGGAGGTGGGGATGTTTGATATTCCTTTATGAAACAAACATATCCTAACACTTCAGAGAGGCAGACTAGTCTGTAAGGTGTTCTATCATTCCAAAACACAATATAGTGGCCCTAAACTCTGACTGACCTTTTCTGCTTAATCATATACTGTGGTTTGAATGTGTCCCCTCCAAAATTTAGGCATTAAAACTTAATGGCCATTGTGATGGTATTAAGAGGTAGGGACTTCAAGAAGAGATTAGGCCAAGAGGGCTTCTCCCTGGTGAATGGGATTAAGGTTCTTTTATAAGGGGTTTCACGAAGCATTCAGGGAGCTTGAGCTTCTGTTGTGTGAGGACACAGTGCTCCTCCCTCCAGAGGACACAACCGCAGGTGCCATCTTGGAAACAGAGATCAGACCCTCGCCTGCCAGTGCCTTGACCTTGGACTCAGCCTTCAGAATGTGAGGAATCCATTTTTGTTCTTCTTAGATTACCCAGTCTTGGGTAATTTTGTTACAACATCACAAAATTGACTAAAACACCACGTAATGGGTTTAGGACATTCATTCACTCAAAAAATCCTTACTGAGTGCTTGCCATTAGAGAGACAACAACAGATTAGTTTAGCCACTTATCAACTACATGACTTTGGGCAACTCGCTTACATTCTCTGTGCTTCATTTACCTTATCTGTGAAATGGAGATAATAATAGTGCTAATGTCAGAGTTGTGAGGATTAAATTAACTAATGTGTGAAGCACTTAGAGCACCTCTCAGACATAGCGAGTGCTGTGTAAGTGTTACTACTGCATGCCAAGTACTGGAGCCAAACCTCTCACCCAGGCTATTAACACCCATAGGATGAAGAGACACTTACTGACTAGAGTGGATTTCTTGTCTGGATGGAAAGGGCAAGAGGCACCTACACAGGCTGCCCGCCTGCCTCATGCCTTCAGCTGCCCCTCCCTGCACCTAGTCCCTGGCAAAGCCAGAGAGGCCGCCACTGCCACCCAGTGAAAATGGGGTGAAGGGAAGCTGAAAAGTGGGTCCTGGGGAAGAGCTCACAGTGTTCTTGAGGGAAGTGGTGACAAGATAGTGGCACCAAGGGCAAGATGGAGGCCAATTCACTCTGCTTGTCACAAAAGGCCAGGCTGCTGCCTTTACAACGTGACCATTTCGCACTTGACCCTCACCTTCACGATGGCTTGTACCACTTCAGGTCTGCTGCTCACAAAAATTATGGTGTCCCAGGGAGCGGAGTCCCGGCCATCCTGGCGTCCTGTCTTCTTGGAAGGAGCAGGTCCGAGCACTGGAACGCAGTGTAAATATGCCTGCCAGGGAACAGGATTCCGCGTCGGGCACTCATCCCAGCAGCTTCGGGCTCTCGGTTGTCACTATTTTTACACTTGTGACAAATGTCATGGCCAGTCACACTATAGTGTATGAAGAAACCTCTGTAGAGGAATAGGACGCAGCAGACATGCTGGGGCCCAGACAGCAGCTGCCAAGCAGATGGAGCCTGAACCTCCACAATTTGGCCAAAGAAGTACCGATACTCTCCATGAAAAAAGATTTCCAGAAGCTGTGTGTCAATAACAAAGTCTTAACAAAAGAAACAACAACCACAAAAACAACACAAAGTCACCAACACTAAAGATTATTCTTGAGTCTGATTTGAAAACTAGGGTCAAATTCTGCAGAGGCATTGGACTGGCAGGATACTACCCTAACAGCCAGATCCATAGGTCCTCTCACCATGCCGGGGAAAATGCTCTATTCACCTCTCCTCAGCTTCCGGTTCTGGCTTCAGAGTTGTCTCTATATTGGAGGGATTTTAAAGCTAGAGGGGCCTTTACCTACTTACTCTTATTCACAGATCTGAATATGGAAGTCAAGAGGGGAAAGTGGCATGTCCTCAGTCAGAGTAGAGTCAACAAGAAAACAAGACAAACAGCGACTAAGCCCCTAGTGTATACTGGGCATTGGCGTGCTACTGGGGACGACGAGATGAAGAAAACCTAGTTCCTTTTTCAAGGAGCTCAATCTAGCAAAGGAGACAGAGTCTTTGCAGACAGGACCAGGCTTCCCTGTAGCAGAAGGAAACTTGAAATCAGGGTAATAAGCCTCAGCAGGGACGGGCCAGTACACTGCTCTGAGAGGATCGTGTGTGGACACAGGGCTATGGCATGGCCCTGCTTCAACCTGCTAGCTGTGCTGTAGGGCCAGGTGGGGCCTGGAGTGCCCCGAACTAGGGGCTGCCCTGAGCTCTTTCCACTCCCCCAGGGCATCACATAAGTAATGACACTTTCTATTTACCCAGCAAAATCAAGGACACAGTTTTCTAGAACACGGGATGGGGTGCTTCGCCTTCCCCCAGTCCAATGGACAGTCTAATCTGGTTGGTGGGACTTTGTTCATGACCCCCCAGCCACTGGCAACTGGAGGTAGAGCTGCAAAGCCCCCAGGAGCCTCAGAGGGCCTGCTGCCTGCCAGGACATGCCTACTCAGCTGCTGCTGGCCCACCTGTGGGCAGCAGCCCTAGTGATGTACAGAATCCCGGGACTAGTACCAGCAAATCTATGGATACCTTGTGTGATCTGGGCGGGCACTGTTGTGGTGGCCTCTACGGTGAGGAGGCAACATGTGGGGAGAAGAAGGCAGGAGTGGACCCAAAGGGATTTGGTGCAGGGTAAGGTCCACAGAAAGGCCAGAACCAAGATGCGGCCAGTGGTGGCTTCATGTCGCCCATGCCGGAGGCCAGTTCTTGATCACTCTGAACCCTCTGCTTGAGGGTTCTAAATGGAATGAGCAGGTCATCCCATCAGGATCTAGGTGAACTTCTGAAAAAGCACAAAAAAGCAAGCCTCCTGAGCTTCCCCCAGTAACTGATATAAGGCACATCCCACATACTTCACAGCACAGAGGAGAAGAACTGCACCAGGAACATGTGATGGGGCCTCAGCGGGAGCCCGCGGAGGAGGACGCCTACTGCCTGGACCTCGGCCAGAGACTTCTCAAGGTCCACAAAAACTTGAACCGCGCGTGTCAGACCCGCGACTGCTACAAGATGTCCCAAGACCTAGCCCAGGAATTAAAGAGAGAGACTTCCAGTTTTCAGAGGGAAATCCTTTTCCATGAGAAAACAGCCCAGGTAGGCTGGATGGCTGCTAGCTGTGTCCACCGAGTGAGTGCTCCAGGCACTCCAGAAAGAATGACTACAACAGGCAGAAGCCGGCTGATTGCGAGGCCAAGTTCCAACCTTTCCTGAGGGGCCCTTTGGCTCCTGAGGTTCTGCCCTCAGCCCGCAGAGCCCCAGAAGTGCTAGGAGGACCATGAGACACTAGGACCCCAGGAGAGAGGAGGGTCATGATGTGAGGGCTTGGATCCAAGCACCTGTCAGGTTCTGTTTTCCCTGGAGCCGGGTTCTGAACACCCAGAGACTGGGCAGAATATCAGCCAGTGCTGTTCCCTTTAAAGCACTTCTGATTGACCTCTTGTTAGTTGAGCTACTGTTCATTAGTTGATGCTAAAATTGCTCTTATTGAAGTTTGATAGTGTTAGGATTGTAAGGTACTGTTTTTCAAATAGATTTTTTAATATAAAAAAAGAAAATATAAATCTAACACATTGAATCTTTTATTTAGGGATATTTTTACTTGGGGCCAAGTAAAGAAAGAAAAAAGAAATGCTTACATTGATTTAAACAGAGAACTTCTAGGTTTCCATAGTGTAATGGCAGTTACCTGAATCTAAATTTCTCATACACCCTCCAAAGCCAAATAACAAGTGGAATAAATACAGCTAAAACCTGTGCCCACAATAGCATAACTAGTAGACAGATTATAGTATATTAAATGATTAGATTAACGTTCAGCAACTATTCACTCTCTCCTTCCCACCTAAGAATCGCAACCACCACCTCTGATATTAAGAGTGGGGTTGTGAATTGCTTTGGTCAGTGGCATATTGAGAACTGATGCAGGCAAAAACTTGATATGTGCCTGCATGGCAGAGCATGTTCTTTTGTACTCCTGTCTTTGCCGTGAGAAGAGTATGGTATGCCTCATTTAGTGGCTGGTTCATAAAGGATAAGAGACATTTGAGGAGGACCTGAATACAACCTGAGCTTGTAAGCAAACCTTATAAGCTAGATGAGCTAAATCCCAGTCAACATGCAAAAACATAAGTGAAAGATGAACGTTTATTGTTTTATGCACCTGAGTTTTAGGGTTATTTGTTTTGCAGCAATAGCTGACAGATACAGGAATTAGTACCAGAAGTGAGATGCTGCTATAATTAAAACTTAAACTATTTGGTATTAATTTGGGGACTGAGAAGTTTGCAGTGAGGAGATTGTCATGTAAGAATGAAAAATAACAATCTATCTTATGCAGTGCCAAATTATTTGGAAAAATATGGCCTGCAATATCTTAGAAGTCAGAATATTTACCTAATAGACATTAGTGTTGGTTGAGGAAATTTTGAGGCAAATCGTTGAAAGTGTGAGCTGATCGCTAGTAGCTGCATTTGATAAGGTACTACATGAAAGAGATTCAATCACAAAAATGCTAACTGGTTTGCAGGCAATATTTAAAGGAATATTATAGGCTTGGGAAATGAAAATGCTAATTACTAAATCAAAGGTGTTGCCATTATGACCACAACCTCAGTCAGAGAAAAGGCCAAACCCAGGCTGCTTGCAATAAAACATGACCTCAAGATAAAGATCAAATAAAAGGTATAGCTATAATACTTGCTTATACCTCTAAAGAGATGAAGGTAACATCTGCAGATCTTTTTAACTAAATAAAGGGACAACTAGAAAGCTTGAACGTGATTCCAAAAAAGCATATTTTGCCCAAATTTTCTGCAATCTAAGTCTAGAAAGACACAGGTATGTATCAAAAATATGTGTATGTGACTTTTGGCACTGGTGTTGATAGAAATCAAATAAAAAACCAAGAAGGAACTTTCAAAGGGTAGAGTCAAAAAGAGTGAGGAATGATGGATTTAGGATTACTTCCACAGACATCACCAGAGCCTAATGAAGAAACATTTTTACCACCAGTGTAGTGAAATCTGATATTTGCCCATCAGGATTTCATAATTTCTAAGAACCAGTATCTATGTGCTATGTGATGGCAGTTCTTGCCCTTTTCAAATTAGAATGTTTATTGAGGCCAGGCACCGTGGCTCACGCCTGAAATCCCAGAATTTTGGTAGGCTAAGGCGGGCGGATTACCTGAGGTCAGGAGTTCAAGACCAGCCTGACCAACATAGAGAAACTCTGTCTCTACTAAAAGTACAAAATTAGCCGGGCGTGGTGGCGCACGCCTGTAATCCCAGCTACTTGGGAGGCTGAGACAGGAGAATTGCTTGAACCTGGGAGGCGGAGGTTGCAGTGAGCCGAGATCACGCCATTGCACTCCAGCCTGGGCAACAAGAGCAAAATTCCGTCTCAAAACAAACAAACAAACAAAAAGAATTTTTACTGAAGTTAACCTGTTTCTCTTCCACCATTATATATTTGGATATGTGCAGAGTGGCAGTAGATAACAACTTGCCTTCTCGGTTCAAAAGTCTCTGTATCAAGAAGAGTTGCGTATTTGTTGTAGATCATAAGATCCTAGATTTCAAGCCTTATGCCATGATTTGATGAGACTTTGAGAACTCTTGGGATGGAAGTGAGAATATTTTGAGTATGCGAGGTATATGGATATTTATAGATAGAAAAGAAATCTATGGCAAATTATTTTTCAGCCAATATTCACTTTCTGTCTCTTCCAACTTCTGTGGGGAAAACACATTTTTCTGTCTCATTGTTGTTGAACTTGGTCATATACCTTTGGTCTATGGAATGTTTTGTAAATAGATATTTGAAATGTATTCTTATAGAGGGGCTTATTTTCTTACACTCTTGTCTTTTGCTATGAATATAGCATGCCTTGAGTAGCCACTAATAGGGCAAGATGAGAGGCTTTTAGACTTGGACTCAACCCACAGTTTGTAACTAAGCCCAGCCTAGATCAGCCAAATCTCAGCAGACCCAAAAATGGATAACCAAGAAATGAATGCTTATTTTTACAGGCCATTTAAGTGGTGTTTTTACACAGTAATAGACAAAGAAAGCTACAAACTTTATTTTTCACATAAGTGGGAAAATACACATCTGAAACCAGCAGAGCCACAGCTGTAGCTCATGCCAGAGTCAGGGGTTATGATAAGAAAGGGAGAGTACAATGTTTTTGAGATGGCATCATACATACAAATTTACCTCCAGAAAGGATCCCATCCTGAGTTGAGAAATACTGAGAAAATATC